CTTCCCCCGATTCCCTAGCACCGTTCCCCTCCCCAATTCCCCAATAAAAATCTTTAAGAAAAAAAGAAAACTGATAGGAAAAAACTGATTCTTTTGAAATGTGATGTGGAATAGAGCTCTATGGAAACACTTGACAGCCAGAAAGATGAACACATGGGTCCCAGAGCAAACTAAGCCTGGAACATCACTGGAGGCAAAGATGACAAAACTGAAGCTGTCCTACTTTGCACACATCACGAGAAGGCAGAGCTCTTTGGAAAAGACAATAATGCTGGAAAAAACAAAAGGCAGCAGGAAAAGAGACCAAATATGAGGTGAGTGACCCCGTAAAAGAAGCCATAGGCATGAGTCCACAGGAGCTGAGCAGGGCTGTGAGGACAGGACATTGTGGACTCATTCATAGTCGCCAGGAGTTGGAGCGGACTCAACGGAACGTAACACACACACACACACACACACACACACACACACACATTTATTAATGGCCTAAGAGGAACTCTTTTTCTACTCAAATCTACTTTACCTCCCACTTTCTTTATTTACATCATGAATTGAAAATGCAAACTATCTTGCAGATATAACTGAAGGAGTTCATGTTAAAACATTTTTGCAGACAGGCCTATTTCAACAGATGAAAAGGTACTTTCATTACAATTGCTCGTAATATAAAAAAGTTATATCTTTATTAAACATTCACTACTTACCAATATCTCAGTCGTATATAGGATGAAACACCTTGAATTCAAAGGAAGAGTTCTTTATAAATCGAAAAAAGAAATAAGAGCGTCTCATGAATGTGGCATAATGATTTACTTCAGTTTTTAATTATGGTATTTAATTTCTATGTCTCGCCCTAAGATGAACACCATAAGCAGCAAGTAATATAATAAAATACATCGTCTTTTTTTAAAAAGAAACTTGTCATAATTTTAGGAAGCTTAAGCTTACACAAAACAACAGGGATAAGATAATACGTTATAATAAAAGACAAAAAAATTAATACACCAAATTGGTTATAATCAGGGGCTGAAATGTGCAGCTTAGGAAATAAGATTTTTAAAAAATGTCATTAGCTTGTTACTGAAAAATCATAAAAAAATAAAATAAAAAAGAAACGCAGGATCTTATTTGTTAAGGATTGAGAGGACCTGGGCAGAAAGAGACAAAGAGAAAAGGTATTCAAAACAATAACATGATCAAAGCCACAAAACAAAAACTTACATACAGGCCACCAGTGAAAAAACTAGGCTGGATTATGAATAGAAAGGGGCCAGGTAATGAAAGGCCTTGCAAACTTTGGACCTAGTTCTATGGGCAACAGAGAAACATTTTAAGACCCATTATCAAGGAAGATGACATGATACAGGCAATTCTGTATTTTAGGAAAATTGGCTGGTGTGTATGATTGATTAAATAGGAAGATACAAAAAGGGAGAATATTTAGCAGACTACTTACTTCCTTTCAACTTTGCTGGTTTTATTTTGAGACTAAATTTCTTTAGCCCCAAATATACTTTTATAACTCTATGACACGAATTCATTAGTCATTATTTAAGTAACTAAGGCTTGAAACGCTACATGTTTGATTCCTTCCTTCTTCTTGAACAGTCTATTATCAACTCCTGATTATTTTCCCCTCAGAATGCCTTGCACATATACCATTCCCTTTCCGTTCCTACTGCCAGTACCTTAAAGCAGGGCCTCATTACCTTATGTTGGGGTTTCTCTTTCTCAGCTTCCAGCCTTTCCCCCACTGCATCTCAATCTAAACATTCCTGCCAGATTAATCTTCAGAAATACCCTTGCACATATTATCCCCTGCTCAGAAATCTCTGAAGGCTTCTTACTGCTTCAAAAAAACAAACAAAAAACACCCTGAAAGCCTTCACTGGCAATGGGGGGGCGCCAGCAAGCGGCCCTAACATTACTGCTCACCATCATCTCAAGACCCAACTCAAATTCTACCTCCTCACTAATTCCTCTATCATCAGTCTAGACTGCAATAGTCTAATCCAATAAAAATATAATGTTCCTCACTAGAACTCAATGATGCTGGAACATTAATCTCAGACTTCCAGCCTCCAGAACTGTGAGAAATAAATTTCTGTTGTTCACATGCAAAAATATATACATAAAAATTGCAAGCCACAAAAGTAATTCAAAGTTATTTCCCAGCCACATTGAAAAGTTTTGCAGGTGAAATTAATTTTAATGTTTTATTTAACCCAATATATTTGAAACATTATCTCAACATGTAATCTTTTTTAAAAAAATGGAGATATTTTATATTGTTTTGTTTTTGTACTAAGTCTTTGAAATCCAGTGTGCATTTCATATTTATAGTACACCTCAATTTGATCTAAGCACAATTTCAAGTGCTCAATAGCTATATGCAGCTTCTGGCTACTGTAATAGCACAGGTCTAGACTCTAAAAGCAACGCTTCGGACGGCGGGGCACTATGCTCTGCTACTCCGAAAATGCAGGTTGGCACCAGTCTATCTTTATGTACATGTCTCAGGCTTGATTTTAATGGTATCATCAACCATTTAGTCTCCCAGACTAAAAACTCTGGAGTCACCCTCTTACCACCAAATTGGCTGCCACCAGTTGAATCCTATTTGACATTTTAGAAATGTCTCTCTGTCATCCTTTACTATCCTACCTCAATGGAGGCATTCGTTGCCTTACCTGAGTGATTGCAATTTCCTCTCATCTAGTTTTCCTGTTCCAAGGTGATGCTCCGAACAGCTGTCATCCTAAAAAAAAAACCAAATATATTCAAGCCCCTCCCTTGTGCCAAGTATTCACTGGTTTCCTGCTAACTACTGAATAAAATCTGAATTCCTTAGTTGGAAATCAAGGTTCTTCAGAAGTTGGTTTCAACCTCCCTCTTGCTTCCACCCTTGCACTGCATGGGTGCATATTTTCCCACTCAAAGTATGCCAAAACTTCCTCTTAAGTCTCTGCATCCCTGTACTCCATCCAGGAATGGTCTTCTCTTGAGCTTAGCAAATTCCTTTTGACCCTTCATGACCCAGCTCAAATGCTTATTCCTTAATAAGGCCTTTTTGGTGTCCTCAGGCAATTTTTTATTTTCACCTGGCACAAACTGGGCAGAAAGAACATTTGCTGAATGGATGTTGAATGTATGCGTGAAAAGTAAAAGTGATCATCTTTGTATCACCGACAGCAAGCACAGCACTCAAAGCAACATAAATGTGTACCGTAAGAAGGTAAGGAACCCTAACTATATCATAAATTTTTTCAGGGCAATGATTCTGACCCATACTACTTCATCTCAATTATCTATCACAGTTACTTGCTCTCTCAATAATGACTTTGCATGTTGATGACAACTTAAGAACTATGCAAAATCCAAGGGAAAAGGAAGAAAGGATCCTGAGTTGGCCCTCCAGCTCACTGAGCGAGGAAAGTCTTTTCTGGGTCAGTTACGAAAGAGCAGCGGTTTCCTAACAGGGTCAAAGGGGCTGTAAAGTAAAATATTAGGGGATGGGCAATTGGTAACTCAGGTTGGCCAGGTCACAGGAGGCCAGATTTGTCCGGGTTAAGGCTAGTCTGACTTCCAGTTTACCGAAGAGCATGTGAAATAGAGTGATGGTGCAAGCGCCCGGTAGACGCTGAGGACCTAGACAAATTTAATAAGAGTCGATTCACTAAAAAGGATGCATACTTTGTCCTCAGTGCTTAGTAGCCTCGTGATCTCTCAACCCCACACGACGGGAAAACGCCGAGTGAGAAGGCTAAGAACAAGGTAGTCACGAGACTAAGGAGCCACAGCTGGCGTCGGATTAACTCCTCCAGCGCCGAGAGCCTGGAAGGGCAGAAGGAAACAGCAAAAAAAGGGAAGAGCGTGGGAGTAAATCGGACGGACTGACACAAAAGACTGGGAGCTTTTAGGCCCGTGAAGAAGTCACTTCTCTTTCCCTCGCTAAGCATTTCTGCCAACAACGACCAGGACAAGTCTCAACCGAAACCCCGGGGGGCACATCCCAGCGGAGACTAGCTCGGAGTTGGAGCCAGGTTCTCCGAGGGCCGAGGACGCCCCCTCCCCCATTCAAAGTCTCACTTCTTCCTTCCGCCTTCACTTGCCTCGTCTGTTCTCCCACAACGCCGTCCACTGCCCTTCCCAACCCCTAGTCGAATCCAGGTTCAGGAGCGAGAAAAGCTGACGTTCGCTCAGCAGCAACAGTGACGATCAGCCAGCAGAAGCCCCACAATGGCCGCCGCCATTTTGAAACTGGAGGCGAAACGAAGAGGCGGGGAAGACCCTGGGCGATACCATCTTGGGGGGGGGGAACAAAGTTGTAGGAAGTAGACGCCGCATACTTCAAGAAGTTTCATCACCTGGGGCCGAGATTTTATTTTAAAACAATTTATAATGTGTGAAACCTAAAATAAATGTGAGAAGAGTCAAATAATAAGAGGAAGAAGAGGTATGGTTGTCCGGTGCCACCCCTCTCTTCGAGCGGGCGCGGCGAATGGCGGGTCCCGAGGTCGCGGCTTCCGCCGACGCCGGAGGCTGGGCTCGTCGCTGCCCTTGGTCGAGGGGTCGCTGTTGGCGCGGAGACCGCAGGTGAGTCAGGGGTTCTCCGGCGGCCGAGGCGCTGTGGGTCACCGTTGTGCAGGCGGGGAGGGTGCACCTTTAGGAAAGCCATCGGCGGTGGAGTGTATATTGGGGTGACCTGAGCCTCCTCGGGGCTGGAGCTACCGGCCTCCCAGGGCTCCTGAGGGAAGGAGGCGGGGAAAAGAAAGGGAAGTGGGGGTTTCTGGTGGACGACCGGGCTCACGTTTTCTGTCTGGCGGTGTTTAGAAAGGGTACTGTGAGGTTGTCATAACTGTAAAACGTCTTTAGAGATCAACGGGTGACCGCCCCCTGCTGGACCGAAAAGGAAACTTGCCGGGATCACAGTGCTAGGGCTGAAGCAGGGAAGGAACGTCTTAGATTGGTCCAAGTTCCGGCGTTCTGTGTTCCTCGTTACACGGGACGGAAAGCTAACCTCACTATTCTAAATCTCGGACCTCCTTGAGCCTACCATTTCACAAAATGTGCACTTTTAAGAAACGTAATACGTATTTAAATTGATCTTGGTTTGGGTGTATATTAAGACACGGTTCCAGACTTCAAGGAGTTCAGTTTCTCCGTGCATCCAGCACTCTTTTCCATAGGTTAAATCGACGCCTTTTTATCAGTACATATAAAACGCTGTGGGGACCAATTAGAGAATAGAAATATTTTTTAAATGTCTAATTATATTTTTCCAACCTGAATTCGGAGTGGCTTACAAAAATACACACTGGATAGTTTTCTTTATAGAAGTTAAGCAGAAAAAAAAATGGGTTGGAGAAAAAGTAATACATATCAGGAAAAATAAGATAAAGTTAAGAGTGATGTTAATATAAATAGTTAACCTCTATACTTACTCTAAGAGGCAGTAAAGCACAAATAAAGCACTTGGATCAAGGAGCCAGACTGCCTGACTCCTTACTGCATCCGTGACCTTAGGCAAGTTGATTGTTCCTGAATTTCCTCAACTGAAAAAAGTGTCTACTGCATTGGGGACATTATATTAGTTAAAATTTGTGTAGTACTGTGAGGATACGTAAGTTGGTGATTGTGAAAGCATTAAGGACAGCCCCTTACTGAGAGTGCTGTAAGAATGGGCTCTTTCTAGAGGTAGGCAAAAAAAAACCAAAAACTGGATCAGGGGTGACCCGTTAGCTCAGTTGGTTAGAGCGTGGTGCTGATAACACCAAGGTTGCCGGTTCAATCCCTGCATGGGCCACTGTGAGCTGCGCCCTCCTTAAGAGTCAGTTATGCCATTGTAGCATGAAAGCAATGTGTAACTAATGACCATGGCAGTTCACCAATAAAACAAAACAACTTGATCAGTTATGTAATTCCTTGAATCCATAAGATAAAAACCAATTATTTTTATGGTTTTTCTTTTTTTTTTTCCCAGAAATACCATAGCTATTCCCAGTTCTGAAATAAAGGCAAACATTTTTTTGAGAGTCTTTGTATAAAGAAGACACTAATAGGTACAGTGCTCTCATGGGCACCCATGTGGATGTCACTCTTCATCCAAACCTAGGCTTGTCTCATTGGAACCTGTTCCCTTTACCCATCCCTTATGCTCTTGGTAGTCCCATGATCAAGAGCCTGAAAACTGTGTATGCTCCCCCTCCTGTGCATTCTCCAGGGAACCATTCTAGCTCAGTTCTTAAGTCCATAAGCCTTCATCCTCCCTTTACTGGTCATCTACTCGCAGTAAAATAGATAGGACAAATTGTGTGCAGTGCCACTGTTCCCAAAGTCCATTAAATAATAGGTTGTACAAATGTAATGTGAAATGCCTCTGGGACAGATCTGTCATTTACCACTTGGGGATGGAATCAGGCTTCCTTCGTGTGGTTGAATCCAACTCAGGATTCTCAATGTACAGAATCCTTTGATCTTTCAGTCCCACTGTCTTTACCTGTAGTCTCTATAAGACCTAATTTAGGGGGCAAAAGCCTCAGGGACATGTCTTATCTCTTCTGCTTGGAGTAGAACCAGACAAAATTAGCTTCTGGCCCTGTTGGAAGAATGCCAATAGTGAATGGCTTATAGCCCACAGGTAGCCATGAACCTATTTAAAACAATTCTGGGCTGAGAGCAAGTACATTTTGTTGTTGGTTAAATACAAACAGTATCTAACAGCTGTGTTAAGGGTTTAAATTGACACCTTAAGAAATTTAAGGAAACTGATAAGAACAGGTGACAGAATACCCCTGGACTTCTGCAGAGACCTATGTTGTCTGGTATTTTGCAGTTTAGTGCTTTCAAAGTTACATTATCCTATTTGCTTAAGGCACATATTATTATTCCCATACTTGACTGGTTTAAATTTATAAAACAAGAGTCTAACTTCATGAGCATTGGTCAGAATCACAAAAAGTACCTAAGTGTGTATCAAAAAGTACTTAAGGATCTAAATGCAAATAATGCTAAGAGAACCACCATCTTCTAGGAAATAAGGTTAGATTAGTTACATTTTCATTTTTATGTCCAAAGAGCTATTTGCAGCAAATTGTCTGAAAAGTTCTTTGAACTTTACAGATTTTTCCAGCTCCACTCCGGAGGTAGGGCCAAGGAGTCTCTATTTTGAAAAAGACTACCTAGGCGATTTTCATATGCAGCCAAGTTTGAGAATTCCAGCTGTAGACAGTAGACCAAAGCTTAAAACTAATTGATGACTAAATTGTAAATTATATATTTTAAACATCTTATTTACATCATAATTTTCTAGATCAATGATATTCAAACTGGAACCTCTTGTGTGTAGTATTACACTTTATGAAAGTATGTAGTACAGGCATACCTCATTTTATTTTATTGCACTTCACTTTATTGTGCTTCACAGATGTTGCATTTTGTTCACAATTTGAAGGCTAGACCCTCCACCAGTAAAAAGATTATGACTCACTTTATTGGGATGCTCACTTTATTGCGTGGTCTGGAACCCGACCCTCAATATTGCCAGGTATGCCTGTAATTGTGCAATTTTTAAGTTCATGGCCGTTTCCTAATCCAATGCCTTTAGATAGTGAGTGAGTGGTTAAAGTTTGGGAAATAAAGAATTAAACCGTAAGTCCGAGAACCAGTGTCTTAGAAGGAGAGGCAGGAACGTGGTCTCCATAATCCTAGCACAGTTTAGTAGTGCTGAGCACTTTTGTTGGCAGTAATATACTGTCATGTGCTGCGTAAGGATGTTTTGGTCAATGACAGACCGCATATATGACAGTGGTCCCTTAAGATTATAATGGGGCTGGATAACCTGTAAGAAATGGAAAGATGTTTGCTTTAGGAGGAATTTTTTTTTTCTCTGATGGGAGCAATATCTGTGGGGCTTGGCAACTGATTCCCTCTCACAGACCTCAATTTTGAGTGCACAGATTACACCCCAGTCAGTCAGCCACTGGCCTGTTTCAGCACTGAGGAGCCTTCCCCCCAGAGCTATATATTCAGAGAGTGCAGCAGCCCCCCAGATCTAGTTGATGGTCTTCAGAGGGCATGGCTGTAAATTCTTTGTTGAGGAGCTAAGACTCTGTACAAGGACACAGGTCCACAGGGGCTCCCTTAACAAGTATTAAGTGACACCGCCACTTAAGTAAAAGCTTCCTGCGGTCGTGTGCAGCCAGCCTGTCCCTGCTCTTTGGAAATACTATCAGGCTGTAATGATGTAAAGCATAGATAAGTTTTATTTCTTCCCGATTCAATGCCAGGGAGAGCCCTTTATGCCAGATAGGGTCAACAGAACCAAAAGCAAATTTTCAAAGTTACAATGTTCAGTCCTCAGTTCTACACCCCCTCCATGTAAAACACCCTCCCCTTTTTATGAATACCACAAAGGTCCTTAACCTGACCGCTGCTCCAACATGCAGTAGCCAAAACTGCATTGCCATGACAATTCCCTGCGTTCCTTCATCTCTCCATCTTGATTTCTTATTCCTACTGATCCTCCGGCAACTTTCACTCCCTCCTGACTCTATTTCCTGTCCATCGAACCCACATCCCATTGATGGAGCAGAATTGACAGCTTCCATGTTCTATTTCTGACCATGTCAGAAGGAAGTAGGGGGAGCGCTTATGGGACAGTGTTTATAAAGGGTACAGCAGTGTCCAGTCATGTCCTAGGTCACACTCACTCACCACTCACTCACTGACTCAGCCAGAGCCACTTCCAGTTCTGCAGGCTCCATTCCCAGTAAGTGCCCTGTACAGGTGTCCCATGTTTTATCTTTTACACCGTATTTTTACTGTACCCTTTCTATGTTTAGATATCCTTAGATACACAGATACTATTGTGGTACAGTTGCCTACAGTATTCAGTACAGTAACCTGCTGTACAGGTTTGTAGCCTGGGAGCAATAGGTTACACCATAGAGCCTAGGTGAGTAGTAGGCTATACCATTTGGGTTTGTGTGAGCGCCTCTGGGATGTTCGCACAACAATAAAATCTCACGATGCATTCCTCAGAATGAATCTCTGTCAGATGACCTTATTCTCTTTCTGGGGTTTTGTCATAAGTTCTCAGCCATTCTGAATGACTTGCTCATTCTAGATTCATGTGCACAAGGATGTATTTTGATTTTATCTTGAGGTGCAAATTTTTGCAGAAAATTGACAATTCAACTATGTTTTTATGAATTAATGCAAATTTGCTTTCCATATGATGACTTCTGATTCTTCTATTCCAACTCTGCCTTTTGGAAACTCTTGGAGCTTCAAAGCTCTTAAGTACTATACACACAAGTTTGGGGAAGGTTCTTCTAGAGAGGCATTGTGATGGAATAGAAAGCATCCAGAGCTTTGGCGCTAACCTGGGTTTGAATTCCAGCGCTGCAATTAATACATATTTGGGTTAAACTGCTTTCTTATCTATAATGAGGATGATAATAATAGTTATTTCATGTTACATATAGGACTGTATGATGTCTCTGGTACCTAGTAGTCATTCTATAAAAATAAGTTCCTTTCTCTCCACATCTTTTAGAGTCATTTAATTGACATTCAGATCTACTGTGACATTATTGAATATGGTTGTTTAAAATTTTGTAACTTTTCGTTTCCTTTCCAAAATTAGTTTTCAGGTTTGCACAGTGGCAGTATCATAGCCAATGAGGTTTATCCAAAGCAAGATTATTGCTAATTGAAAAATTAGTTTTCGATAATTATAGCTTTATCTAAAGAATTCTGCTTCTGGCAAAATAGTATTATTCTGTTTGTTTTGGCATCATGAGAGTTTTTTTAAAAACTTAAAAAGTTTTAAGGGGCCGCTGGATAGATCAGTTGGTTAGAGCGCAAGCTCTGAACAACAGGGTTGCTGGTTCGATTCCCACATGGGCCAGTAAGCTGCGCCCTCTACAGCTAAGATTGTGAACAACGGCTCCACCTGGAGCTGGGCTGCTGTGAGTGGCCGGCAGGCAACAGAGTGCCTCAGCCGCGTAATACCAACTTGGGCCAGTGAGCTACGTCCTCCACAACTAGAACAGTGGCTTGACTTGGGAGAGGGAAAAAAAAATGTTTTAAGGCAATAGTAGGTGAGTGCAAATACTCAGCTTTTGCAGGTAGAATTATTTTATACTCTCCATTATATCATATCAGATCACTGATGGAACTAGGAAAAAAGTAAATTGACTTTAATGCATTGTAATTTTTATACTAATCTTTGTCACCTATATAATCTTTATCAAGTATAATTTAAATAGTATACTACATTCAGATGCCAAGCAAATTTAAATAGGCTTATGCTTTTAATCTATATATTCAAGTCTAGCTTCCTGTTTAAGATGCAATTTAAAAGATACATCAAAGACAGTTATATTTCTGACAATCTTTTTATGTTTTATTTTTTTTAGCATTCATGATGAACGTAATTCAGATGGTGCGTGACCACTGGGTGCATATACTTGTCCCTATGGGATTTGTCTTTGGATGTTATCTAGACAGAAGGAATGATGAAAAGCTAACTGCCTTCCGGAACAAGAGTTTGTTATTTAAAAGGTTGGTTTTGTATTTTTTAAACCAACAATTAGCCAGCTTTTGGAAGTATTCTTGATATCATATATGCCAAAAATAAACAAAAGGGGTAATCCCCTTCCACCGCCCCCCAGGACTTAGGTTTAAGTGATAGTATTTTGTACTCTTGTTTGCTGTTTAATCCTTGCATAAAACTGTTTGATTACATTTGTAATATAAACAAGCCCTCAATTTATGAACAGGCTATTTCAGATGTTTGAAAATCCCCCTCTCCCCCTTTTTTTTAATTCAGGATGCATTTTAATTTAGAAACAATGTTTTAAACCAGCTTAGCAAATCATACTCTATATACAGCTTTCACATACATTATCATATACTGTTTTACTTAAGCCATGGTGTAGCTGAAATAACTCGTACTACTCGTGGCTTGGTGCTGTGTTCTCAGCAACACCACTTGAGAGCTCAGGTACGGTGGTTGAGGGATCACAAGGCAACTGGTAGGTGCCTGGTCCCATTGTGTCTCAGGATGGCTCCTCTGGCAGCAGCGTTAGAGCTGTTAGCAGGGCAGGGTGTCTGCCAGTGGGCATGCAGCTGGAGTGGAGGAGGCTCAAGGGACAAGGGAACTGAGCAGCAGCCACAGTCAGCATAGAGGAAGCTCCCAGTCACGGATTTCCAGAAAGATAAAATGAGCTGGAAAGGGCCAAAAAACAGTAAATGAACTCAAGAGGATAGTAGCTTTCATATGAAGATAGACTAAGAAATTACAGTTCTTTAATCTGGGAAAATATAATTGAAAAGATGGTAAGAGTTTAAAATCATGAGAGAATAGGATGAATGTGTTGAATATAACAAAATTTTTTAAATGGGTCCATTTAATAGAATATAAAATATTGAATTCATATTTTCTGACTTTCCCTTTTATACCCTCATAAAAGTTTTATTTATACTTTTTCCTTTCCTTCTTTTTTTCTTTCCACACAGGGAATTGAGACCCAATGAAGAAACCACCTGGAAGTAAAAGGCTGTGACTGAATTACAGAATGTTCACATTTTTAAAATTAAGAGAGAAATAAAAACACATTATTTAATTTGAAGAATTTGGAGTCTCATTCTTTTAATGCTGGAGTAATCTTTCACATTTCAAGTAACAGACCCATTAGCTTTGAAAATAATTATTAAGTGCCTGATTGTGTACACTGACGTTAAACTTACAATTAGCATTTAATTTTCTATTACTCGTTTTAGATCACAGTACTACTAACTCATAGCCAATTTTTTTCCTCAGGTATTTTTCAGAAAATTTTTTTCAAACCATGTGCTTCAGAGGAGCTTTAAAAGGATAATTCTAAGATTTTATTTGCTAAAAAATCATATAGCTGAAAGTTGTAGTGACCTTGGGTTTGGCATCTCTTAAATATAACACATAAAGCATGACCTAGTTTTTAAAATCAAGAGATTGCACTTTTAATTTCGTTAAAAACTTTTTGCTGTTCAAAAAACACAATATGAAAATGCAGCTACAGACTGGGAGAAAATATTTGCAAAACACAGACAAAACAAAGAACTTATATCTAGAATATGCAAAGAACTTTTGTAACTTAAGACAACCCAATTTTTAAAATAAGCAAAAGATTTTAACACATTTCAAAAAAGGAGGGTGGAAAGTAAGCACCTGAAAAGATGCTCAACAGCAGCAGCCACTAGGGAAATGCAGATTAAGAAAAGAGACACCACTACACACCTATTAACATGGTTAAAATTTAAGACTGGCCTTACCAAGTGTTGGCAAGAGTGCAGAGCAAGTGAAACTCCCACTTACTTGCTGGCAGGAATGGAAAGCGTAGCTGCCAGGAGTTGTACTAATTTGGAAATCAGTTTAGCAGTTTCAAGTTAAACACAAGTACCATATGACCCAGCCATTCCACTCTGAGATATTGCCCAAGAGAAATGAAAGCACACTTTCATGAATGCTCATAGCAACTTTGTAATAGCCAAAAATTAGAACCACAATGTCCGTCCAAAAATGAAGGGTTAAATATAATGAAGCCATATAGTTGAGTACTACTCAACAATAAAAAGAAACCTTGATACAACAGATGAATTTCAGATTATACTGAATTTAAGAAGCCAAACACAAAGAACACAGTGTGATTCCATATACATAAAATGTTAAAACTGCAAACTAGTAACAGATCAGTGGTTGCCTGGGGGACCAGGGTGCAGAAGGGTCAGAGGGAAGAATTACAAAGGGGCACGTGGAAACTTGGGTATAGTATGTTCATTTTCTTGATTGTGGTGATAGTTTCATGGGTGTATACATACATCATCTCATATTCAACTACCTCAGGAAACAAATTTGATTAATTTGCTTTAGGTGAGATTGAGTTCAGAAGTAAAATTACAATGAAATGATACTCCCTAATTATCACTGATTCTTGGCAGAACTCAGGACCCAAACTGACATATTACCCATTTTAAAATGTCAAATGTTTAAAATTCTGTTAAGCTATTTGGTTTTGGGTGACAAAATTAATGTCAGTTTAAAAGATACAGTGTTCAAGAAGATAGAAATACCTTTGTGCAATCTCACTTGTTAACAAAATTTCAATGAAGTGGATTAGAGAAAAGTTGAATTGTCCGAGGAGACAGGGAAGTCTGGAAGTGCAGCTATTCCATCTACCCTGTCTCCAGGAACTCTCCTGGTTAGCTCAGTAACCTCTCTCCTATTGAATTATTAATACGCTTTTTTGTGTCAATCAGTCAAAAAGAATTCATGCATTTATTCACTTCTGTACCAACACTTTATATACAATATAAAGACTCCTTTGACCCTCAAAAGTTGAGTCCGGTAGCATATAAAGTAACCGGTATGATGTAATCACTGCTTTAATACAGGCATGTGCAAGATATAGTGGTGGCACAAAGGACTTTTCATATATCAGAGGGCTTTCTGGAAGTCAAGGGAAACAGCTGGTGTGAGTGGAGCAGAGGGAATTCTGGGAGATAAAGCCAGACAGGTGGTTGGTCCAGATCGCAGAGCTTTTTGAGCCAGCAATGGGAAGCCACTGAAGGATTTTAAATAGAGTAAGATTTGTGTAATTGTTTAAAGATCCCTCCCAATATAAGTCTATGAAGGTGGGACTGTTTGCCTCTTTCGTGGTCATAGTCCCAGTGCCCGATAACGTAGTAGTACTCCATTTGTTGAATGAAAGAAAAACTGAGATTTGCATTTTTGAGAGATCACTGACGGCACTATGAATCGAACATACTGAGACTGGAATCAGAAGACCAACTCAGAGATCCTAAAACGACTACATAAGAAACCAAGGCGGATTGAACTAAGCAGTAGCACTGAAAAAGCGGGGAGAGAGGAGTGAATATACAGCATTTGAGGACTAACTGGAACAAGGGGTGAGGTAGAAGAGTTGGGGGAAAAGAATCAAGATGGTGCCCAGACACTTGGCTTCATTAATTCATTTGAAAGGCATTAACTACTAGATATACAAAGTCAAATGAGATATGAGCCCTGCCATCAAGACGTTTATAGGGTAGTGGAGACATATGATTAAACGAGGCATTATGATACTGTGTAAAAGGCGCCATGTATGATAGAGGCACATACAGGAGCTCATAGAGGGACAGGCACTTCTAAATTAGTCGAAGGGCAGGGAATGCTTTCTGGAGCGTATGATCATTAGGTTTTGAAGGACAATACATGTTATCTTAGAAAAGTTAAAGTTTAGGATGTGCTGACTAGCAAATGGAGTTATCAAAATAGGAAATGCAATGAATCTAATAGCCAAATCATCCATGGCTTCAGAGAGAAAGCCAAAACCAGAACCTGCATTCTGACTCCCAGGCATTGATCTTCTCACTTTATATTTGCTGTTAATTATATGCTCAATAGGTCTGGAAGGCCCAATGAAATGACTAATATTAATTCAACATTAGTAAATATTGTGAGGCTCTGTTCTAGGCGATGAGGATTTTAACAGTGAACAAAACAATAAGGCCCTCTGGGTAGTGTATATCCTAGTAAGCAATTAATCACTGTAAGTTGAATCATGTCCCTCCAAAATTCAAGTCCACCCAGAACCAAAGCCCTTATTTGGAAATAGGGTCTTTACCAATGTAATTAGATAAAGATCTCAACATGAAATCACCCTTGATTAAGGTGGGATCTAAATGCAGTCACTGGTACCTTATAAGAGGGTACAGAGAAACACAGAAGGAAGAAGGCCATGTGAAGACACTGGCAGAGATTGGAGTTATGTGGCCACAGGTCAAATAATGCCAGGAACCACCAGAAATTAGAAGAAGCAAGGAAGGGTTCCTCCTAAAGACTTCGGAGCTGACACCTCGGGTTCAGACATCTGGCCTCAAGAATAGTGACAGAATAAACTTCTGTTAAGACACCAAGCTGGTGGTAATTTGCTACAGCAGCCCTAGGAAATGAATACAATCACATACTTTCTCTAAATAATACATCAATACAGTTCAAATATCAAGAATAAAACTGTATACAGTGAAAAGTCTCCCTCCCACCTATCTCCTGTTTACCTAATTTCTTTTTCATCTGAAACATGTAACTTCTGGGTTTCCTGTATAATTCTTCCAGAGATACTTCAATATAAATACATGTTTTTCTACATGGACACATACTCTCTTTAGAAAAAAAAAATCAGATAAACTCTTTTGCATATTTTTTCACTTCATGAGACCATGATGTGTTTCCCTAGTTAGGCCACAAATCCTTAAGAACACAGACTATTTCCCCAATACAGTACAGGACTGCAGGCTGTGCACAGAGACGTTCAATAAGTGGTCACCGAATCTTCCAGAGCACCTGGTCCTCACTAGCAGTTTCCATTTCCTTACCTCCCGGTGCCCCTTCTGTTCCTCTGAACCTGCACTCAACCAAAGTCACCAATGGTTTCCCTAGCAACAAAATACAGTGGACCCTTGTCCTTCCTTACGTTGCTGAACCTCTTGGCAGCAAGTGACACCAGCTTCTCTGTGAGACATTCCCTTCCCAGGGCTTCCATGATATTACGCTCTTCTGCTTTTCCTCCCGATTCCTGGGCTAGTCCTTCTCCACTCTCAGGGCTGTGCTCCAGATGTTCTTCTTAATCTCTCTTCCCCCTAGGTGATTTTATTCACTCCTGTGGTTTCAGTTGCCTTTTCAGTATCAACAACTCCCAGTTGTACATCCAAACCAACCTCCTGAATTCCAGACCCTCACTCAACGTGTGTGTGTGTGTGTGTGTGTGTGTGTGTGTGTGTGTGTGTGTGTAAAATCTCCAACCATTAGTCAACATAGATACTTACCTCAGTTTCAAGGCGCAAGACCTGCTCCTGTTCTACGTCTTCAGCTTCCTCATAGCCCTTTCCTCCTTTCTTCACCGGATTTTTTACCTCCCTCAACTGATGCTTTCTCTTCAGGGCCAGAACACATACACTAGTTACAAGGTGTCTGGATCTGGACTCCAGCCCAAACTAGTAATTTACTAGTTGACCTTGGACACTGTGCTGTTCTTAATCTCTCTGTGCCTCAGTTTCCTCATGTGTAAAATGGGAATAATAACAATGTCTGCATCAAATGTTGCTGTATTAAATGCATTAAAATATGCAAAGCTCTTAGAAGAGTGCTTACCCTACAGTAAGCCCTATATAAATATTAAGTATCATTTTCACGTAAGTTCTAGGTATTGGGGGATGCAATGATGCCTGTTTTTAATGAGGCAGAGGAGGAAGATATTGAATAATTATAATCAGATATGATAAGTACAGAGTACAAAGTGGAAAACAAAAAGAACATAGAACCCACGTGGTACTTATCCAAACCCCTAGAAGCCTAAGAATCCATAGCAATGGGTGGGAAGTAGAGAAGATCCTCCAGACCTCCGGAGGCGCTGCAGCATCCCCCAGCAGCCCAGGCAACAGTCGATGGGAGGACGTGCTACAAACGTCACGTGTCCCCGCGTTTACCGCCCCAGCGTTCACGCGCTCTTCGCTCCACGTGACTGTCATCCTCTGGGGTGATTGGTCCGCACGAGGAGCGTGGTTAGGGGCGGGTCGAGACGGGGCGGGGCAGGGTAGGCGGAGGGGTGGGGCCGGGGGGCGGAGCAGGAGGGGGTGGTTCGGTGCGGGGGCCGTTGGCTCCAGACAAATAAACATGGAGTCCATCTTCCACGAGAAAGTGAGTGTACGCGTTCTGGGGGGACCTATGTGCGGCGGTGTGGCGGGTGTGGGGTGCGGTATCGCCACCTCCCGGAGAGCTGGGTGGGGTCCGTGTCACCCCCATTCCGATCTCCCCGGGCGGGCGGAGCTTCACCGGAGGGGAGCTACACCGACGCCCCCAACGCACCCTCCGCCCCTGAGACCAGTGCCGGAGGTCCCTGGGGAGCCCAGGGTCCGTGACGTGCCGGGAGCCGGGAGGGAGTGAGGGCAGGGCCGTGGGCGCCTCGGGGCACCTGAGCGGGGGAGGCACCGAGTGGGTTTGCTTCTGCGCTTCCCTTCCACTTTCCGTGGGATTCCTTCTCCAGTTCCTTCTCCCGTACTCTTCGTAGGTTTTAGCTAGTCACCTCTCGGACACCTCCCTCGATCCTTCCCAACTCTCCCAGTACTACCCCTGGCGGAATTAACTTTTCCTTCCCTGGACGCCTCAATTCTATTTTGGAATCTCCCATACACTTAGCTCCCTGGTGGTGTGTTCCTGTCCTCGTGCTCGAGGTTCGTGAGTCTCTCGAGTGCGGGGACCTTGGCTCATCCCATGGAGGGCCTGACACTAAGGGACATAAATTAGGAAACCCCGTGCGCCCCTAAACAGGGAAGTTTTTTGTTACGAAATGTTTGGGTTTCGTTTCTTTCGATAGTTTCCCATCTTGCCGGATTAGGAAGCCAGCTTTCTTATTAGGTATTAGGGGCCGACTGGAATAATATTGCAGTGGTGCGCCTAGCCTGTTTTGTTTTGATTCTTCGATGACCACGCACTTGAAGATACTGTTTGTGGCATGTGGAGAAACTCGTCCCTTCCCACATAGTACAATTATCAAGCCGTTTGGGTGCGAGTGAAACCTGACTCAGGACAATGATGGCACATATCTTGTTTCATAATAGTTTCATGTTTGGAAAGGGTTGCTGGTGAGGCTCTTGTTTAGTAGGAGCAAAGGGGTTTTGTTTTGTTAAATACTTGGAAATGATTTATTTTAAAAAAATTAACACGACAATCAAATAAAGCAATCAAAGACAAGAGGCACAGCATAAACCTAAACAGATTTGTTTAATGGAATGCTTTTCTTTATAGAAAACATTTCAGAAAGTTTTGGCACGTTCTAGAATAGACTGATTTTTATGTGTGGGGAGGAAGGACTCAGAGTTATCGCTAAGTTGACATAATTTATGAAACTTGGGCAAGAGAAATTTAGTTGCTTCTCTAAGGAGATTGGATGAAGAGAACCCTGCGTGTATGTATTTTTGTTACTAAGGTGCAGAAGCTTTGGTGTAGGACCAGATATTTCAACATGGAAGACTTCCAATATTTTCCACACTATTTCTTGAGAACGATACAATATATATTTTAACAATATTGATTGTTATGTTTTTTTGGATATATTTCAGTAAAGGTACTACCAAACCATGGGATCAAAAGAAGCTGGGTGATAGCTACTGAAAATGTATTTATGAGAAAGAAGGCACTCTTAATTATCAGCACGTGTATAGGCTTAAAGACGCTTCAGGAATACATTTACACGTATAAATTTATGTGTACTTAGCAAACGAAAGTTCTTAAGTTAAAGTTCTTCAGGCATATTTCAAGAGTATGGAAAGCATCTGTAATCATAGGGCCCATTGTTAATCTTATACACAGTCCATTATGAAAATGCTTGAATTTAATGTGCCATTTTCCAGCATATTAGCTTCCCCTCCTACAACGGGCCCGGCAACCACTTCTTTTTTTTTTTTTTTTTAAGATTTTTTTACTGGGGAATTGGGGAAGGGGAACAGATAAGTTGCTGTCCTTTGTTCTTTAGTCTAGTTGTGGAGGATGTGGCTTCACTGGCCTATGTAGGTATTGTGATCATTGCGCTCTTCCCGGCTGAGGCAGATCGGTCGCCCGCCATTGGATGGCTGCTCATGGCAGCTCTTGGCAGCTCACGCTGGCTACCGGCCACTCACAGTAGTAGCTCACGGCGGCCCACTGCAGCTTCACTGCAGCCTGTGCTGTCGTGGGCGACTCACGGCAGCCCAGCTTCAGGTCGAGCTGTTGTTCACCATCTTAGCTATAGGGGGCACAGTGTCACTGGCCCTAATGTGGGATCTGAACCAGGGCCCTGCTGCTCAGAGCTCGCGCTCCCAAGCTTAATCAATGCGCCACTCGGCCAGCCCCAACCACTTCTTGGAATATTGGTTTCCCCATTTTTAGAGCTCTCGCTTTGAATGCCCTTTATTAAGTTAAAATGTAATCTAAACAAGTTGTTACTGTTATATCCCCTAGTGCCTGGCACATAGTAGGTGCTCAATAAATATTTGAATAAACAAGAGAGTTCTTTGAGCATCTAACCACCTATAAATATTTGAATAAACAAGAGAGTTCTTTGAGCATCTAACATGTATATGGTGCTGTCTATTTAAATAATTTTTCTGCAGATATTTTAGGCTTTGCTATATATGGTCTCACATATTCTTGTTTATGTGTGTTTTCCCAACCATATGTTAAGTATAAAAACCATTCTTAGCTACTGGTGCAGGTTGAATTTGGCCCAAGGGCTAGAGTTTGCCAATCCCTAACTTAAACCCTAGTATTAAATGGCCATTAACTGCTTTTTTGTTTTGTTTTAATATGTTTTTAGTTCTGGTGCCTGCTTTCTGTCATTTTTGTTATCATGTCTATTGTTGACTGCTCTTGGCGAGACCATTGTACCATCTAAATTGGTACTTTTTATGTAATGTAAACTGAGAATGATAACCAAACTGGTTGGGATTATATTTAAAATTAGTGGAAATATGAAAAAGATGCTGAGCATTGACTTTATGACATCAATTAAGCCCTTTGTGATCGCCTGTTCTTAGCCATCTTCAGGATACTTGAGGTTTAGTAGGTAATAACCGAATTCCACATCAACTGGCCTGAGGCATAGACTTGAAGCCTCTCCCTGGGCTTAGAGCCCAGCCCTGCCCTTTACTACCTGTATGATCCTGGGTAAGTTACTTCCTGTCTGTGCTCCAGTTTCCTCCTCTGTGTGTGAGGATAGTGAAGTGTTGGCCTCAGAGCTGAGTGCTTAGAATGTTACCTGGCAGTTAGTGATGTAGAAGAGCTGGCGTTGTTATTCGGATGCTTGCGTTCTGATACTTGTGTTTGCTGAGTCTCCTAAAGAGGGATGAGACCTGATTATCACTCCAATGAGAGGCAGTGCTGCTTGGTTGATTGGGTGATCAGAGCATGCCCGGTTTCTGTTGTAGTCACTAGTGTCCCTGGAAATTTGAACGAGTTCCTGGTTGGTCCTAAAAACTTTGAGAGCAGTGGGGGAATGATTTGGATGCTGTTCCCTTTTGTTGTTTTATAAAATATCATGGTAAAACTGGAGATGCAGTTTGTTCATCCTTTGATTCCCAAGACAATAAAGATTGGGCCTGAAATCATGGAATTTCAATATCACTGAACTTTGACTACAGCAAAGTGAACTTGTGTTCAGCTTTGGTTAAAGCTTGGTGAGGAAGAAGTGGCTGAGGGTGGGGAGGGAAATGCATAATCCTAGGAGGGGTCATTGTACAATTTTTTTGGTCCATGTAGAATTTGATTCATCCAGTGACTTTGAAAAGTGATTTTAAATTTGGACTGAACAGTTTGTTCTTTCCTTCCATTAAATCTTAGAAGTACAGAATATTATCTCCTATAGTGATACGGTTTTGCTTAGACAAAGTTTGATTTTAAGTTAAGCTTATTTTTTATATTTTAAAGCTAATTTTTATAGAGAGAATTTCTAATCAAATATTTGGATGTCACTGTTTCTATATATAGTATTAAATATAATATATTATACATATATATTATATATATAATAAATATAAGCAACGATAGTTTGAGAGCCCCAAACTGAGGCTTGTCTCCCGACATCTGACATTGGGACAGAAATTTTGCATTAGGACTGGTCCCAGAAAATCCATTGTCTGATCACCATATTACCCTATTTTGCTATGTATAATGTGCATCCATGTTTTTGGCCCAAACTTTCAGGGGAAAAAATCTTTCATTTTAATTTTTTAATTCAAATTTTTATTTTTTTACATTTAGGTGCTTGTTTTTTATATTTTAAAGGAATTTTAGCATTTATTTTTTAACATGTTAGTACAAGAAATTTTATGTAACAAATAATTACAAAACATAAGAAATTTTATGTACTGGTAACAAATTTACCCCCCCCCCCCCATGCTGTCTTCCAGATACTAACTCTCCCTCCACCCCTGCAAGGGTAACCACTATCCTGAATTCTGACATTATAGACTAATTTTGCCTGTGTTTGAACTTTTGTAAATGGAATCATATAGTTTGTACTCCTTTGAACCTGTTGTCTTTTAACATTGAGAGATTCATCCATATTGTTGCAGGCAGTGACAGTTAACGCATTCTCATTGTTGTGTACTATCCCTTTGTGAATATGACACAGTTTATCCATTCTACTGTGAGGGACATCTCAGTAATTTCCAGTTTGGGGGCCATTTCAAATAAGTAGTGCTTCTAACGGGTTGTTGGAAAAGTCATGGCGCATTTTTGCAACAAAAAAAAATAGAAAAAATACAACATGACTTTTCCGACAACCCAATATTAACCTTATACATGTCTTTTTTTTTTTTAAGATTTTTATTGGGGAATTGGGGGATGGGAACAGCGCTGGGGAATTGGGGGAAGGAAGGGGAACAGACAAGTTGCTATCCTTTTGTTCTTTAGTCTAGTTGTGGAGGACATTGCTTCACTGGCCTAAGTTGGCACCATCATTGCGCTCTTCCCGGGTGGGGCAGATCAGTCGCCGGCTTCTGGACGGCTGCTTACGGTGGCTGCTGGCTGCTCACTCTGGCTGCTGGCTACACACAGTAGCCCATGGCAACCCACTGCAGCAGGTGCTGCAGCCTACGCCATCGCCGGCGACTCACGGCAGCCCAGCTCCAGGTTGAGCTGTTGTTCAGCATCTTAGCTGTGGAGGGCAGTGTCACTGGCCCTCATAGTTGGGATCCAAACTGGGGTCCTCTGGCGTCCCAAGCCAGCTCTTAACCAATGCGTCACTCAGCCGGCCCTACATGTCTTTTGATGAATATATGCTTGTATTTCTTTTGTTTGCATTATGTACCTAGTAATGGAATTGCTAGATCATAGGGTCTGTATATGTGTGTTAAGCTTTAACAGATACTGCAAATAATTTTCCATAGTGATTATACTAGTTTACACTTTCACTAATAGTAAATACTAGTTTTGATGTCTCTCATCCTTCTCCAATGTTTAGCCACTCTGGAGAGTGTGTGGTCATGGTAACACATTGTGGTTTTAATATACGTTTCCCTATTGCTAATGAACTTGAGTACCTTTGTGTTTTTAAGCCATTTGGCTATCCTGTGAATGCTTGTTTGTCTTGTCCATTTTTTCAGTAGGATGTCTGTATAGCCTTCAGTTCGCATTATAGTGTTCAGTGAGAGCTGCTCTCTGGGGGTAGGAATACAGTAGAAGGAAAAGGAGATGTAGACAAGTCCTCTCACCTTTGTAACTATACCTTGAGGGCTAGAAACTTCTTTTTTTTTTTTTTTAGATTTTTATTGGGGAATTGGCGGATGGGAACAGAGCTGTTGTTCAGCATCTTAGCTGTAGAGGGCAGTGTCACTGGCCCTCATGTGGGATCCGAACTGGGGCCCTGCTGCTCAGAACTGGCATCCCAAGCCAGCTGTTAACCAACGCGCCACTCGGCCGGCCCTAGAAACTTCTTTACTCTAAGCTATTATACTTATTCCATACCAGGTTATAAAGACAAATTTATGTCAGCCCCCAGTCTCAGACTCCAACTTTCTCAGTGCTGCCTTCCTATGCCATTATATTTGTATTCTCGATATCTTTTTCAGCAGCTGAATTTCGTTCCTAAAACATTAATTAATCAGGAAAAATATGTGTTGCTTGCTGGGCTCACTGTCTATTGTGTAATGTGGCTCAGAACAAACTGCAGAATGTCAGGCTGGGTTAAGGAACAGACATTAGTGGGGAAAAGGAGAACTTCCGAGGCCTGGAATTAGCAAGAGAAGAAAGTGTTCTCCTGTCTCCCACCATCCCACAGAAGGACAAGCCCTGGTCAGTGTTCACAGGAGGGATCTCATCCACCCATGAATCCCCTTTCTTAGAAGGCAAGTATGGGAAAGAGCATTGTTGCCAGGAGAGGGCTGACAAGCAGGCTTCACAGTGCCAGGCAGTCTTACACATATGGGTTACCATATGTGTAAGAAAGCCAGCTGCCAGCACCCACAGACCCTGGGACCCACGGGAAGTTGTACTCCCCAGTCACATAACAGGAAGTCAGTGATCCCATGGGGCGCTGAGCTTGGATGCAGCCCCTCTTGCAAGCAGCTTGTCCAGAAGTGAGCTCCAGGGGTGCTTTTTGGGTATCTTGCTCATTGCATCATACTCTATTACAGAATTCCCTGAAGAGAACCTTGACTCTGTAGCTACAAGTCTTAACATCAAACAGAATTTTTCTTACCTGTATCAGTTCTTGATATATGAAATTATGAAATGCTTGAACAAGCATTTAGTTCAAGTAGAGATTATCTTGTTAAAGAACAAATGTTCTAGGGATTAAAATCCCCTTTCAGCATTAGTAATTTGCCATAGAATCTCTAAAGATGAATTTATATTAGCCACTGGAAATAAGGGAGGCTAAATGTTTATAGAGTAGTTTTTTTTTTTTAGAAATTTTATTGGGGAACAGTGTGTTTTACCAGGACCCAACAACTACTCCAAGTCAAGTAGTTGTTTCAATCTAGTTGTGGAGGGCGCAGCTCAGCTCCAAGTCCAGTCACTGTTTTCACTCTAGTTGCAGGGGTCACAGCCCACTATCCCATGCGGGAATTGAACTGGCAACCTTCCAACCAACTGAGCCACCTGGCCGCCCCTATAGAGTAGTTTTTAGTAAACTATGAGATTTGGTGTATTTGATAGATGATAATGTTTGTTTAAGTAATTCTTAAGTTTTTGATCATATTGCAAAATTACTGTAGTTTCATTAATGGTAGAGTTATAAAATAAATGTTAACTAAAAATGCATATACCTTATGTTAATTGTTTGTCTAAAACTAAAAAGGTTGTTTTGACATTGTTAAGAAATTAATGATTGGGGCCGGCCGAGTGGCGCGTTGGTTAAGAGCTGGCTTGGGATGCCAGCTCTGTGCAGCAGGGCCCCGGTTCGGATCCCACATGAGGGCCAGTGACACTGTCCTCTACAGCTAAGATGGTGAACAATAGCTCAGCCTGGAGCTGGGATGCCATGAGTCGCCGGCGATGGCGTAGGCTGCAGCCCCTGCTGCAGTGGGCTGCCATAAGCTACTGTGTGTGGCTGGCAGCCAGCATGAGCGTCCAGAGGCCGGCGACTGATCTGCCTCACCCGGGAAGAGTGCAATGATAATACCAACATGGGCCAGCGAAGCAACGTCCTCCACAACTAGACTGAAGAGCCAAAGGACAGCAACTTGTCTGCTCCCCTTCCCCAATTCCCCAACACTGTTCCCCTCTCCCAATTCCCCAATAAAACCTTTAAAAAAAAAGAAATTAATGATTAAATTCCCCTTTAAAAAAAGACTCTGTACAAATCAGTTTAACAAATCACATTTGAATTTTTTCTTTTGGAAATATCAGCAAGAAGGCTCACTTTGTGCTCAGCATTGCTTGAATAATCTATTACAAGGAGAATATTTTAGCCCTGTGGAACTATCTTCTATTGCACATCAGCTGGATGAAGAAGAGAGGATGAGAATGGCTGAAGGGGGAGTTACTAGTGAAGACTATCGCACATTTTTACAGGTACTGATTTTAAACTCACCAAATTGCTTTTTTGTTTTGTTTTGTTTTTTGTTTCTTTAATGTGGGAATTGTTTAGAAAAGGATAAACCATTCGGCCTATCGGGATCTGACTTGTTAATTATAACTCTGCTCTTGATTTTGTAAATGAGGATGCACAAAATATTATTTTAAATATGCACACTAATGACAGTTTTTATTCTTCTCTCCCCACCCTCTGCCCCCGCCTCAACCACCTATCCAAATTAAACAGCAGCCTTCTGGAAATATGGATGACAGTGGTTTTTTCTCTATTCAAGTGAGTAGCCACAAGCAAGTACTAAGTGTTGTCTATGTCCCAGGCACTGTTTAAGCTCAGGGTATGGCTGATAGAAGCATCGTTTCACAGCGTTTCATAGTCACTGAAATGATGTGGCCTTCAGAAGTTTCTGCAACAGATTGTGCCTAGGAGTATAAGTATGCTTTAGAGTCTAGATTTTTATGTAGATAAACATGAAAGTTAAGATTGTAGGATCTTCATTTTAGATAGGGCTTTTTGAAAGGAGATTTAATTTGCATCTGGATGCTAATAACCTTAATTCCAATAAGTCAGTCTTTTATACTTACTGTCTCTTGTGTAAATTTGAGAAAATGCAGCCTCGTTACCTTCTCTTAAATCAGCTTTCAGAAGAAGCTATATTACTTGTGAAATGCTTTTGTCGGTGGGTCTTTCAGCCTAACACTTGGGAGTATCCTGAGTTCTTTCAGAACCTCTCTTGAGGGGCCTGTTTCTGTAGGTACCTTTGTTTGTATCCCTCTTGTACTGTCCTGGACTCCTCATTCACCAGCATTCCCAGTCAGTGCTTCCTCGTGGACTGTTACAGGTGACAGCTATGCAGGGCTAGGATCGGCTGAGCCCTTGTCATTTCCTGTGCGTGCGCTGCCCTTGGTGCTGATTCACGTCTGCTCACTAAATTGCATTCACTTTTTGTCTATTCTGGTACCTGGTTCACTTGCTTCTTTGTTGCCTGCCTTGGAAGTGAATTTTCAGAAATCTCCTATTTTTTTCAGGCAGTTTGAAATATTCAGATTTATCTTTTGTTTTTTCCTAAAATTATAAACCCACGATAGTAGAAGTTTTAAATCTTTAGAAAGAACTAGTTTTCATAGACATTCGAGATAATTATCACTGTTACTGACATATTCAGGTAGTGAGTTGAAATATTTTTCTAAAGCAGGACCCATAACAGCCAAAGTGTCATATATATATATATAGTGGACTAGTCTTAAGAATAGCACTTACTAGATAGAATACACATTTGGATTTTTGTGGCAGTTTTATCTAGGAATTGTGAGGTTCTCTAAATATCCCAGAAACCCAGTGTTAAAAAGCAGTCTTTTAATGTTGTCTTTATATGTTATTTATATTATAGATCTAGTGATATATCTATACATACACACACACTTTTTAAAAACCATAACCTTCTGGGCAAATTGATATATGAAATACACTTGTTTGTACAACTAACATGGCTACCCTATTTATACTTGGAATTAAATGGTTTAGCTCATGAAAACTTGCTATTTTTTTCTAACAGGTTATAAGTAATGCTTTGAAAGTTTGGGGTTTGGAACTAATCCTGTTTAACAGTCCAGAGTATCAGAGGCTCGGAATCGATCCCATGTGAGATTTTATTTTTCTTTTCCTACATTTCTTTTCCTAAATTTGATTTTTAAAGATGTGATTTCTTAAAGAAGCAAAATATATTTTGAATGCCTTTGTTTTGATGTGTTCTGTTTCATTTCCTATTTCACCTTTTGGGGATGTCCGTGAACGTGTGCCCTCTAAGCCTTCCTGGCAGCCCAGTGTCTGGCAGCGCAGAGCTGACCCTCTACTGCTGTGTGATGCCATCATTTTTGCAAAGCATCACTGGTCTGCAGAGAGATTCATTCTGTTTGTGATTTTTAAAAAATCAGTGCTACTTAACTGTTAACATAATCCTAAATTATCATAAGTTTTGTATAATACTTGCCAATAGACAAACTAAATGAATATGAACGCTAATATTTCCACTTAATATTGGTTCTGTATTTTTTCTCCTTTTCTAGAAATGAAAGATCATTTATATGCAATTATAAAGAACACTGGTTTACAGTTAGAAAATTAGGAAAACAGGTAATGTGTCTCCTCCTTCCCTGTCTTTTTTGACATTCTGCACTCCATTTGCAACTAAAATGTAAGAGATTAATGCCTTAAAGATGAAGAAGCTCACCAGGAGAGAGAGAGAGAGATAGAGAGACAGAGACAGACAGACAGACAGACAGAAACAGGCAGAGAGTTTCAATCTGGATAGATATGAATTTACTATTTTAAAAGACAATATCAATTTCCCTTATATATTTATTTGTGACCACCATATACAGTTTGGCTGTATAATAAGAAAAATTATTAAGACAATGCAAACGTGGCTACTTACAAGTAGGTTTTATGTGCTAAATGTTCTATCAGCTATTTCACTTATAGATTTATATTGAGCATAGTACTGTCACAAAGCTTGAAATAGTGTTCAGCACAAATGAAAGTTTTCAACCATGTTTGCTTTAGCTTAACAAGATTATTCACATTCCAAAATGCCACATAATACATATATGTCCACATAAAATAATTTCTATTAAAAAAAAAGAACATGGGATATGTCTTCAGCAAGCGTTTTTTAAGATCAAGAAATGTACCTATAGTGTTATTTTAAAAAATAATTAACAATGATCTTTGTACACACAGTTCCATTTTTTTAAAAACAGAACTAAAGTCCTTTTTTTAGAATTTTGAATCTTTGAAAGAGCGTTAATTAAAAATGGGCTAATGCAATAAAAAGGAATTAAATATGGATACGTGCAACACCATGGGTGAATCTCCAAATAATTATTCTGAGTGAAAGAAGGTAGACACAAAATACTACACACTGTATGGTTCCATTTACATAAACATCTAGGAAATGTGAATGAGCCTGTCCTGACAGAAAGCAGATGCATCAGGGGTCGCCTGGGGTTGGGGAGGGTGAGGCAGAGCGGAGGAGGAGGATTCTAGGAGCCCGGGCGCCTAGGCAGTGCTGAGTGCAGTACGTTCACTCACTTGGCTGCAGTGGGTTCAGGGTGTATGCATAGGTTAAAGCTTCTCAGATTGTGCACTTCAAATATGTGCAGATTATTGCATGTCAAGGATACCTCAAGCTGTTTTCAAAAATGGTACAAAAAAGAAAATGAAGTCAAGAAAGAGTGCATTGAATTAAGTCATTAAAAGATAATTCAAATACATAAAACCTTGCTATTATCTTTTAAGTCAGCCACCGAGAAGCAGCTTTATACAAGTGGTTATTTCTTAAGGTCCCTTCTGAGGAGCTCAGAGCAAGTAAGGAGGAGAGGGTATAGTAGAGAATGACCCGAGTGGGATCAGAGCTAGGGAAAAGCCAGCGCAGGACATGGCTGAGATTATTGAACCTCTGGGCTTTATTTATATCTTTGAAAATTATGATCAGGTAGTCTTGTTTTGTATAAAGTAATCACTGGATTTTTTTAAGATCTGAAGGCTTAGATTCCGGAAATTCCTATGTATTGATTTGCATGTAAATGTATCTATTTTGAGAGATTTAAAAAAATTTTTCATTCTTCAAAATTGAATTTTTACATTTTAAATTAACTTTGACAAATATAGGAAATGTCAAATTTTGGCTTATCTCTGGCTGTAATTTATATTTTTGTTGAAAATTCTATTTTTCACTATAGACTTTTTTGTTTGAGGTCCCTGTTTAATGAAAGAGGTGACTGGAAAAAGTATTGTGATCTATGTTAAAATTCAAGAAATTTTGTGTCTTGTGAGTTAAATTAGAATTCCTATGAAGTAGTGACTAAATGATGGTAATTACATGTGATGGGGGCTTAGTGACCTTTTTAAAGTGAGTTGGTGATTACAAATTTCTTCTTGAAAGGCCTGGCTTTTTTCTCACAGTTGACATCCTTGACCAAAATTATCAGTAGTGGGAAAACTGTGTACTTGTCATTTTTCTTCCACATCAATATAATGTGATTAGATTAGGGTTTTGTTAGCATACTTTGAAAAAAGGTTTAATTATAGCTATCAATAAAGATATGTTACTATCAGTTTCTCCTTTTTTGGTGGGAAAAATTTAAAGTATATGGCTTAAAACAAACTTTTAAAAAACGTTTAATAGTGATTAATCTCTAACATTCTATTTCAGTTTTTAAAATCACATTATTATTTAAAAAAATTCTTGGTTTGACATATTTCCAGTGTTAGACAGTTATGCTAAGTTTAGACGTGTTATAGTTATTCTCAACATGTATAACTTCCTTATTAATTATAATGTGCACTAACTTAAATGTTGGCAATTTTTTTCCAGTGGTTCAACTTGAATTCTCTCTTGACGGGTCCAGAATTAATATCAGACACATACCTTGCACTTTTCTTGGCTCAATTACAACAGGAAGGTAAATAAAGATGGACAATTTTATAATGTTATCTTTCAAAGTAGCTAAATAAAACTAGCTCATTGGATGTGAGAGTAACCATGCTGTTTTTATGGCAGTGGCAGTGAAATAATCTTTGTTTTACATGGTGAACTTGAAGTTGTGATTTGACTGATACTATTCAGGTAGAGTTTTCACTGACACCTGGCCCTCTCCTGAGGATGCTGCTTCCTTTGCAGCCCCTCTAAGTAATTGCTCCTATGTCTTCCGCACCCCACACACCACTGGGCCAAGGGGAAGGCCAGGTGTTCTTTTTGCTCCTGCTTGCCTCTTCTAGGCCACGGTTGTTCCCTAAAAACTCCAGCTCCTTTGAATTTCCAACAAATATAAAGTATAGAAAATAACTTGATGAACCCTTGTGTATCCTTCACCCCGCTTCACCAAATATCTCATGGCCAGTCTTGTTTTATTTATACCTTATCCACTTCATACTCCTGTTTATTTGAGCAAATACTAGGCATTTTATTATTTTCTCTGTAAATTTTTTAAATTCAAATCTGTAAAAGCAAGGACTCTTAAAAAATAGAGCCACAATACTATAATCACACCTAAAAAATTTAACTGCTGCGCATTCGTGACATTAAATTCCCAGTCACTGTTTAAATCTCCCATCTCCGTGGTTGTATCTTATGTTTTTCACAGTTTAATCCAGTTTGAAATAAGATTCATTGATTGCATTGGATTGAAATGTCTCTTAAATCTAGCTATGGGATTCCTTTCCTCTTTATTTTTTGGAAGAAAATGGGTCATTTGTTCTGTTTCCCACATTCTGGATTTTGCTGATTACATTCCTGTTTTTCTCTCAGGCCTGGATACTCAGTAATTTAGTCCTTAGATCAAGAGGCTTAAGCAGGGTCAGGTTGATTTTGGGGACACAGGAGACTTCACAGATAGCACTTGATATCTGGTTGTCTTTTTGTGATTTGAGTAGCTATTGATGATCAATGCCTAGTCCATTATTTCATTAAGGATTGCAAAATGGTGATAATAGATTCCCATCATTCCTTCATTTATTAGCTGGAAAAGTTTTATACAAATAAACTTTCATCATTATTTGGTTATCCTGAAGTATAGTCATATAGTAAAAGCAGGATAAATAATTTTTTCTTTTATCTGTTTTTAAAATGAGTTCATTTCATAGTGTCTTTCTTTGAAAAGCAACCAATTAGTTGTCCGTTTTTTTCTGAAGTGTCATTATGAACTAATCCATTAAAACAGCTCATGTGTTTTAGTCCATTATAATATTCATATTGATACTCTAATTGTCCATCTTGGACCAGTGGGAACCTTTTGTGTTTGATTCCCAAGTTTCTGAAATGACCACTGTAGCCTTTTGAAGCCTTCCTTTGTCATGTAACCAGAATTTTCAGGCTTATCTTGTATATTTCCTGCCCTTTAGTAATGATGTTTAGAGATCGCAATCTGGGCACTGGGATATTTATTGCTAATGGGTTGGTTGTCATGCAGTTCTCTCCAATTCACATGTAAGACTATAGAATTGTAACTAATTTGATTTTTATCTACTTCTATCTCTTTTCTTTTGTGTCCAGAACCTTGGTTCCTAAATATGTCTTCCTTTGTGACACACCATCTACACTTGGCTTCCAGGCCACATGCTCTGATTTTCCTCAGATTTCATTGGCTGCTTCATTCAGATTGCTTTTGTGGATCTTACTCTTTCCAACCTCTAACTGTTGAAGCGACCCAGAGTTCGGTCCTTGGACAACTTCTTAACTATATGCTGTCCCCTTATTTCAAATACCATCTCTAAAAAAGGTCTATATGCCAATAATTGTGAAACTTTTATCTTCTGCCTAGATAACTACCTTACAAAGTTACCAAACTCCTAACTTTGACTTCTCCACTTGGAAGTCCAGAAAGCATTTCAAACCAAACATGTCCACAAAAGACTGATTTTTTTCTCCCCAAACATGCTATCCCTCAGATTTCCCATTTCAGCAAGGACCACTTTTCTTGCACTCTGGTTCCCATATATTATATCGTTAAAGCAGCCCAGAGTGCTTTTTAAAAACCACAGTGCATATTATGACACACCCTCCTCCTTCACCCTTCAGTGGCTTCCCAGCATGTGGAATTTAGTCTTGAATAAACCCTAAGATCCGTAAGTATCATCTGAACAAGACAGAGTTTCTACTCTTCGTGATGCCTTTCACGGAATGCCTTGGTGAGCTGATAGATGTATTCTAGGATCCAGAAACAATTTAATGGCATAAAACATGTTAAACCATCTGAACCCTGAGCACACTTGTTCTTATAAAACAAAAAAAGTTAAGCATATTAACCTAACTTATTGCGTATTAACTTACTACTGTTTTGTGTTTTTCCAATACTCCTTTTGATCCTTGTTTTTGTGTTTCATTATCTGTTTTTATTTTTTTTTGTTGTTTCATTATCTTTTAGTGCTCACACAGGATATCCTGTAATAAGCACCAAAGTTTAAGAAAATTGTATGGTAGAAAAATGTGAATTGATTAGAATGACTTAGGTATAGCCCATCATTACTCAGTGTGGAGTCTCCCGCTGGGGAGACCCCGGCTTTCTAGAACTATATTTATAAAAAAAGAATTGCACAGGATGAGTGTATTTCTTTCACACCTTTATACCTTGACTAGATTTTCAGTATTGGCTTCTCAGACCTTGTTTTTAGTTCAAGGGAGGTCAGGGTGAGGGGGCAGCTATTTCCACAGATGACTCATTTTATCCATATTACACATTACACATTATTATGTACATTATCTGATTGTGTCCTCACAACAACCCTCTGAGGAAGGAAGGTACCAGTATCATCTGTTTAACAATTGAAGAAACCAAGACAGATATGTCAAGCGATTTACCAGGGACCATGCAGCTAGGAAATGGAAGAGCTAGAATTAAAACCCAGGCAGTCCGATTGCAGACTCCTTGCCCTTACACTCCTTTATCTGACTCTGTTACCATTTAGGGAGTAGCCTACTTGGTCAGGCACTGTTTTAGGAGAGCTGTTTACAGATATTATTTATTTCTCATAGCCACTCTATGAGACGGCTATTCCCATTTTACAGGTGAATAGAGTCAGACTCAAAGGCTTAAAGAACTTTGTTCTAGATCACCCTGCCAGGAAGTGTAAGAATCATTATTTGAAGTCAGGTCCTTCTGACTCCTCAGTTTGTATTCGTTTCACAACTGTGTACCGTGCTGTCATTGTCAATCAATTTCGGATCTCTGCTATCATTGTCAATCAATTTTGTCATTGATATTGTCAATCAATTTTGGATCTTTTATTAGCTGTTTCAGTTTATTCTTGCCCTTTTTTTTAGGTTATTCTATATTTGTTGTTAAGGGTGATCTGCCAGACTGTGAAGCTGACCAACTCCTACAGATGATCAGGGTCCAACAGATGCAGCGACCAAAACTTATTGGTGAAGAATTAGCACAACTAAAGGAACAGAGGTAAAACTAAACCTTCAGTAACGAATATGTGATAGTATTTCATTACAAGAATTAAATTTTCATGCTAACATTGACTGTGTAGTCCTTTTATTGTTGGTGATTTTTTTTAGACCTTTGTATTTTAGTGAAGTTTCTTGGTTCCAACTGGAATCAACTCTTTGAGTTACTTAAAAATATTGAGTCACATCACAACACAGTCTTTATATTATTAAACCTTACCTGCAAGGAAATGCGTAAGTTTTGACTTACATAAAGTCTTCGGTTTATACATGTCTTTATATCTAAACTACAAGACTGGTCTGCAGCTATTGTCAGTTCAGTGCTTGCATTCTTTAGAGTCCAGAAAACAGATCTGGAACAAGCCTTAGAAGCAAATGATGGGTCAGCAGCATTAGACGAAGATGAGGAGGACTTGCAGCGGGCTCTGGCACTAAGTCGCCAACAGATTGACATGGAGGATGAAGAAGCTGATCTCCGCAGGGCTATTCAGCTCAGTATGCAAGGTATAGACGTCCTGATGTGGTTTCATTCATGGTCCAAGAATTGCTTCAGATAACTTGTGGCTCCCCTGGAAGTTAGTGAACTGCCAGAAGTCCTTCGAGAATTTCTGCAGAAGGAATGGCTATGCATAGCTCTTCTTTTAGTTTTCTTGTGATATGAATGACTTTTTACAACCTATGTTATATTAGGACTAGTTATATTTTTAGTTCCGGTTATTCCATTTGGTTATAATATTGTACTAACAGAGCAACAAACTGAAGTTAATCTTTGTGGGCAAAAGTTGGGGGGGACCCTTACCCAGACCAGCTGTTTCATATATGAGTGCTGTTGGACACAGGGAAAGGCCTGGACAGAGAATATAAATTGATTTTACAGAAATCTAACATTAGTGCTGTGCAACTGACAGCTTAAGCCCACTTTGACGGTTCTGCTTTTACAGTGATATAAGCCCATCAGCAGTGGAGGGTGAGACGAATTCCCTAGGCAATCCAGGCAGAGGGATGTGTCTGGGGTGTGGCTCAGAGTGGCTGATATAAAAGTATAAGGGGTTTCTTTCGGTAGTTTAGTTTTTATCTAATATGAATTTGCCTTCTATTTTCTAATGAAATTACTCATTGAATTTCTTTCTTTCTTTATTGTTTAAATTTTATTGGGGAATAGCCATGGTCATTGGTTACACATTACTTTCATGCTACAATGGCATAGTTGGCTTTTTTTTATTTTATTTTTTTTTTTATTGGGGAACAGTGTGTTTTTCCAGGATCCATCAGCTCCAAGTCAAGTAGTTGTTTCAATCTAGTTGTGGAGGGCACAGTTCAGGTCCAAGTCCAATCACTGTTTTCACTCTAGTTGCAGGGGTCACAGCACACCTTCCCATGCGGGAATTGAACCGGCAACCTTGTTGTTCAGAGCACGCGCTCTAATCTAGAGCACCATGCTCTAATCAACTGTGCTAACCGGTTACCCATAACTCATTGAATTTCTTAAATATCTAAATAAAATTGAGGTTTCATTCATATGAAGATTGTCCTTTTTACCTATTGTTTTATCCTGACCTTCTTATGCCTCCTGCCCATACCTCTGAGTACTCTGTATGGTGTGCAGTCCAATTTTTGATTAGTAGAGTCCTGCTGGATTGGCCCAATTCTGGATGGACACCAGCTTTTATAATCTTAGGTATTTTTGTGTAATTCATTCTTCTTACCACTTTATTTCACAGTTTGTGCAGAATCTCTGGTTGGTGCAGTCATTCAGTGAGACCACGGAAACATACTTAAGTTGCTGTAGGCCCCAAATGTTTGAGAGTAGAACACGGAGTGGGTTTGAACAATCGTCCACTTTAAGTTGCTTCTGAGGAATTCTATGCCTTTGAAAGTGTAGATTTATTTCTAATAAGTTCAAGGGAGCACACAATAGTGGTGTGAATGGCGCTTCCTGCCAAGTTAGCTGTTGGACTTGAGCCCTCACATCTGACACCACAAGGTAATGGCTTTGGTTATCGTGCACACAGATCAGATTTGAACAGCCTTTTTCAGATTTTCTCTGAGGTTTTCTTTTCTTTTTTTTAGCTGAGTCGTCCTGCCACCTGTTGGCAGATCAGCGACAGTCACTTGGCCAGCCCCTCAAAGCCATTCTTATATTTACAGAATAGTAGCAGAATATTTTTAAGAATAAAATTGTTTAGAAGCTTGTTCCCATAAGTGTAAACATACGTTGCTTTCGCTGGTAAATAAAATGATTGTTTTTTGTTCCATTTTCTTTTGTTTTCAGGTGGTTCCAGAAATATATCTCAAGATATTCCACAGACATCAAGTACACATCTTACTTCAGAAGAGTTACGGAAGAGAAGAGAAGCCTACTTTGAAAAGTAAAGTAGTTGGTACAATATTAAAATTGCATATTCAATATTTACTTTGGCTATTTTGTCTATTTGTGAACTTACAGCTTTGGATTAAACTATTTATTTTATTTAGGATTCTCTTTTTTAAAAAGACTGGTTACTGCCTGACCCTATGAACATTTGAATGTATTATTTTTTTTTAATTTAAAACAAACTGTGAGATGAAATGTAGTTTTAGGGAAAAATTTTGGCCCATTACTAATTAAATTTACATGAAATAGGGTGAAGGAAACCCTGTGAAATTTCAGTCATCAAAAAGATAATGGGGGCCGGCCGAGTGGCTCAGTTGGTTAAGAGCTCGCTCAAGAGTTGGAGCTCTGAGCAACAGCAGTTCGAGTCCCGGCCCAAGCTGAGCAGCCGCTGAGCTGCCAACCGGTGGCAGGATGGCTCAGCT